TGCTCCTAGTAGCGATGCCAGGAGCCCCTAATAGCTTCTTGCTCCTATGCAAATGGATTCCCAAACAATGAAATCATGCACAATGCTGGAAGTTCTTGCAAGTCCACTGCCTGGCGGAAGACTTGCTCGGGATGTTCCCTTGGAGTTACAGGTCGCCGAAGCCCAAATCCGTTTGCAGTTCAAAGACACAAGCCGGGAACCCAAAAGCAAGCCACGGGCGCATGTTTCTACAAACTGTGCTGTCAGACGTGCCGGGGAAGAGTTCAAAGACTGCAAAGCAGATGCGAAAAGAGACCAGGAAATGAAAATGGTCCGAGGTCCGCTAAAAGCACTTCTTTCGCTTCAGAAATTCCAGGGCTAGGTGGAAATCTCGCACAAAGTGTATGCGGTCACAGTATATATATATATAATGTAAGTGCAAAAACTGGCACGAAACTTATGATGCGCAGCCGTGGGCGCTCTAGCCTTTGGATTTCATATGAAACATTATTTACTGCGTTAAGATCTTCAGAATCACTAGTGCCCTGTGCAATTAGCGCCACTTGTGCCTACAGTCATGCAGCATCAACCGTGAGACTTGAACGCAGAGGTAGAATGAGCTGGCGCAAGGCATTGAAGCTGAACCTGTTGGCCAGACCAGCCGTGCAACTATCAGCTGGCTCAAGCCTTCTTGGGCCACTCAGCAATGTGAGGACGAGTCGGGAACATCAATCCTTTCATATCTGACCCCAGGCTGTCAAAACCTGTGTATGAGCGACCAACGGTCATCTTTGCATTGCGCTGTTGTCAAAATGTCGGAGCAACCGAAAGCTTGGGACGTCATTCCAAGTTCTTGGCAATACCCAAGCTCAAGCACATGCGCAGCACATTTCTATACCTGCACACCTGCTGCACAACACGGTTGCCAGACACCCGGTTCACTCCGGGCCACCTCCTGCCTGCTTCGCGAAGCTTTTGCCTGCCTGTTTGCTTAGAAAAATAAAGCGCTCAAAACCGACATGGCAACTTAAAAAGTCTGACCTTCGGTGACCTGTTGCACCGCAGAATGGATTGGTAAGCAATCATTCGCCCTCTTCGCCCCCACGCTCGCGCCGTACGTAGCGCCGTTTTAGAGAATAAGAAGCCCTGTAGCCTTCTCTTGGGAAACATGAAAAAAGAGCTGCCTCAGCGAAGAGAGGGTAAAGAGCCCTCATGTGCTCCGCGTCGTTGAGAGGGCCTGGGGAGCGATGTGGCAAGTCAGGACTCTGCATCGAAGCTCAATGGAGGCACTGCAGGCGCTCCGTGCTGTGATGCATAACAAATGCCTTGCTTGCTGAACAGGTGCATTTTTGATTTACCACGCAGGCTCAGAGCTGCTTCTTACCAAGCATGCAAAACAGGTTGGGGCGTCCTTATAGGCCGATCACACAGGCAAACATAGACAAGTAAGGAACAAGGCAGCGGCAAAAATAACACACAGGTAGACCAGTGGGGAGACAAGGCAGCGGTTGACCAAAACATAGAGAAGCAAGGAACCCTATCGCCTTCAGCTACTTGGGGAACAATGGCTGCTCGGCAAAGGCTATTGAATTGAATCCATGGCGGTTGGTTGGAATTAGGGTAGGGCCATTGCTAAGTTGCACCCGGAAAGAACACCGCTGTTGCCACAAACCTTGACAGCCCCCTCAGCATGTGCTGGGGCGTCACGCACTCCTTTCCTGAGGCTTCTGAAAGTCAAGCGCGCCAGAACAAGACACAGGAGCTGAAGAGCGTTTGTTGAAAGCAATCGTTGCTGCAGAAAGTTGCCTCCCATCCTACTATTTTGCTGCCCATGCCGGCGCACCTGCTTTGCTTTAGTGATAGACCATCTGATAGACATCCAGTGCGTTTCCATCTCCCTCCAAAAACCTGCTGTCGCAAGGTTTTTTGCCATCCACACTGAGAAAGTTACTAGGAATCGGTGTCCTCGTTCCCGGCTCCTTTCGAAAAACAAGGGACGCGTCTGATACGCCACCCTGCAACTGTATGCGCAATTCTAGTTTTGGTGCTCAAATGGCCGCACAGTTTCTATTCATATTTGCAATAGATGTTTCTTAGAAATGTCTTGGTGCATCAAATGTCATGTGTCTTCTCAAGGAAAATGTTTGTGTTGTGCGTCTCGCTACAGCGAAACGCGCATTTTTGCTGGGAGTGTGAAAACTGTTGTGAACAAGCTGTTCAACTGAAGTCCACAAGTTCAATTGGAACTGCAAGCATCAGTTTCCCCATCACACAGGTTGATTCACACCTTGTGCTTCCATTGCCAGGGGCCCATCTGTCTCTTCCCTGTGGCACCCCCAAGATCCACCCGATATAATGGTTGATCTGGGGCCCCCTGCTCTTGCACGAGTAGAAACTCAAGATCCTGATGGTTCCTTGTGAAACTTTCCACATGCTGGTGGGAACCTCCAGTGACCCAGCGGCCACGCATCTTTCTTTTTGTTTTCTTTGAAAAAACTATTGGCCACAGTGAGCAACTTCCATGAATTCAATCCGGCAAGTTGCTTCCATTCTGCAAACCCTGTCCAGGAGGACAAGACACACCAACCATTCGAACAACACTAAAACACAAACACGGTCGATTGGACCTTCATGGAGAAACATTGGACATACACCCTGTCAGCTGCGTGCGCATGAAAGCAAAACGAACGAAGACTGTCCTGCGAGGTCCACCTTCCCGTGTGAGGTATGTGCGTCTGAAAACAGACGGCATCAGGCGAGCCCTGTCCATGTGTGCGAAGTACGTATGTGTATATATATATATAACTCAACTTTACATTACATCCTCACCCACCCCAACCTCCCTACCCACCCGAACACCAAAAACCGACATACGTGACAGGCGCAAGGGCGGCGTATCAGCTGCAAGCCAAAAACAAACGAAACACAAAACAGCTGAGATGCCTTTAGGAAAAAGAGTGTTAAAGCAAATTAAGCTCTCCGAGCGGCTGTGTTGAGCAATGTAGATTTGGAAGCACCTCGCAAAGGGCTGAAGAACCATGTGTATTGACTCGGAGGAGAGTGTGAAGGCAGCGAAGAAGGGAATCACTTGCTGCTAAGGACAGCTCAGGCGGGAACAGTCACATCTACAACCCCAGGTTGCCCAGCATCATGCATGACAGCACTTGAAAGGTTTGCCGGTGGAAGTGTGGAACCTCCTGGGGTGGTCTGTGATGATTTTGCGTTTGTTGATTGTCCTATCCAACAATGCTGGTACGCTACAGTGTCAACAATAACTTGTTGATATTCCGCTGGCCTGGCTGACGACTCACGACTAAAATCATGCTGTCTCCCCATGGTCTGCGCCAAGGCGCCTATGTCGATCTCCACTTTGAGACCTACATCGTGCACGGTCTGGCCACTGGTGTTGGTCACGTGCAAATAGCCCGTGAATTGCTCACCAACCAGTGACTTCTGAAGGGCCTGGGCCATTGTCAGCCATGTTTCCCTCAAATGTTTCCCTCAGATTCTCTTGCTATCGAACGGAAGAATCTCTCGGCATCAAGGACGCCGCACATCGCCACACCACTATATAGTCACTGCATGTCTTCCTTCTTCCACAGACTAGAAAAACCGTCTAGAGCGACGATACGCGACGTATCGAAAGCTAAAAGCTGAACACTTGTTTCTGTCGCTATGAATTATGTCTTGTGTTGGAACTTGTGTTGACCCGGGTCCGCCCTTGAACCACCATGGGATATGTGTGATGTGCATAGATCACGTACCCTTCTAGTCGGGTGGCTTCTGTTGAGTTGGTAGGAACTGTATTCAAAGGCGTACCCAGATCACCACCGTTCACGAGCTGAGTTCACTCAGCGGGACCCTCACTTTGGAGGTGCACCTACGAATGCGTGTCCCTCTGAGGATCAGAAGGATTCGAAAGGGTGTGCGAGCGAACACCGGCCTGACATGGCCTCAAGCAGGGCTCTGCGGTCGCAGGATCCCTTCGTCATCCCATCAGCTCGCATATCGCGAGTGTCCACCCAAAGAAGTGCCGAAATGATGCCTGTGCTCTTAAGTTCTTTAATCCAATGGATATGGCCTAGGAGAGATTTTTCTGCCGGATACTTACCACTGGAATTTTTGATTGAGTGATATACACTTTTGGCATCGATCATGATTACAAGTTTAGTTTTAAAGCCACCTTCCTCCCTCATCCTCAGGAGTCGTTCTGGTCTCATGGGTCCATGGATGAGTTCTTCAAAAGTGACCAAATACAAGAATGCATGATCCGTGGCTCCAGTGAGAGCCAACAATTCAGCACTAAACGTAGAGCGCACCACCAGTCTTTGCGACTGAGTGGTTGCATCTATCAGGTGGAAGCGCTTCGAACCATCGTGAAGAATCCCTTCACGAAGCACGAGAGAACCTTTCATGCTGTAACCTTTGGTCGCATCACCTTCTTTCGTGAAGGATGCATCCGAGAACAACCACAAATCTCCTGTCGCTTTCATGGTTGGATAGACAAGTTTCTGTGGCCTTCGCTTCAATTCACGGGTCAAGCTGTTAAGCCGTTTTACATGAATCACTTGTGGAGCATGTGTCACACGTTGAAGTGCTACAATGTATACGGCCACCCAAGCTTGCGTAAGACTCGTGTAGGCTACAGCCCCTAGAAGGCTCCAGTATAGCGCCTGTAGTGTTGGTGGGCATTGGTCGGTCGGCTTCAGGTGTTGATAGTGCTTAGGATTAATCGGGATAAAAGCTGAAATATATTCATTTTGATCCATTGAAATCGTTCCGGAGTGGTCACGTTCATGATTAATGCCACAATTCATGAACTTGTTTTCGTTGACTGTGAGTTTTCCGAAATGCTTTTCAATCTCTTTCATGAACTTTTCAACTTCAACTGGCTCACCAGCAATTTTAAGATCATCTACGTGCTTAGACACTACCATCACTACTTCATCATTCCTTATTAATACTTCGAGGTGTGGGTCATACGAGCAGGGTTTCAAACCACAAATGCCTTGGGTTATCTGGGCTAGTCTTAGTGAAAATGCCTTAGGCGCGTCCCTACAACCAGTTCCAGGCTTGAGGCACATCAAACACTCCGTGCGCTCGTTGAAGTCTTCATAGCCTGGGATCTGCCTCAGGTGCCTAGCTGTCCCTGCCGGCACCGTGAAAGACAGATGCTTCTCTGGTTCACCTGTAAGCTGGTGAATCTCACTAAAGCTAGCACCCTGCAAGAATGCTTTGGACACATCCGCCGAAAGAAACCGCCAGTGCTTGTTGCACGCGGCAAGGCTCACAAGGGCCTTCTGAGATGCACGATGCGCAGTCCCTGAGTAGTTCTGTTCTTCAGGTCCGTGTGGTTCGCGAAAGCCTCGCAAAGCCATCCGCATTCTGATGCCACGGACTCCATCCACGAACTTCCACTTGGCCACAAAACGTGCATCGATCAAGACCTTGGCCTCCGATTTGGGAATTCTCTTAAAACATTTATACTTTTCCCAAGTTCGATATTCAGCAACTGTAGCGGCATCAATCATGTCCTTATATTGAGTCATTTCTTCGGGAGTTACAATGTCTGTTTCCCTACGAATGACAGTTCTTTTGATTTCCTCCGATGCAAATATCTGTACTTGAAAAGATTCTTTTGTACATTCAGTTTCAGTTTCTGCAAACCAGTTTGAAATCTCATGACTTACATACATTTCTACAAACGGCGCATTATCTTCTGTTTGTTCACATGTGTCAAAGTGCGAATGTTGCTCCACGTAAGTCAATGACTGTTCATTCCAATCTGCATGCTGATCAAACTTTTCAAATACAAATGCCTGCTGGTTTAGGAACTCTTCCTGAGGAAGATCAGTGTCTGTCTGGCACTGCATGTCGCGCACCAGAAACTCGCACAACTCTCTCAAGTCTGCTGCTTCTGTCGATGGTGCTTGAGAGAAGTGCTCAACAAACAAAGCCTCTGCCTCGGACGAGATCGATTCTTCGGGAATGGTGCTCAATCTGTCATTCGGTGCTTCACTGGATTGGTCCTCTTCTGGCGTGAAGACAGGTGGAGCAGTTTCTTCATCTATAATCAGCCCAGCATCCGCTTGCAGCTTGATGCACTGCATGGTTGCGTGATGCACTGCCTGCTCTCCAAAAAGTTTCGATACATTCAATTTCACATTGTCGGATTGGTGGACTATCATACTGTCTGGGCTTAAGGTGTTCCAATTAAAGATGATATTATTCTGCGGGCCTAACATCTTAGGGAGAAAATGAACACCTCTTCCAATGCGAACAGTGCAGACATGGTCTAACTGCAACGATTGGCGGACCAACAATTCTAAAGCACGAGAAACCTTTGGCCATCTCCTGGTTGCCTTTGACAAGATCTGTTCATCATGTGCGTTCATGATATAACCAAACGTTTCAACTCTGCCTGGATTCTGCTGTTCAAGCCAATCGTGGACGTAAGACAATGCTGCTGCTGATGCATTTGAACATGTGTGCCCCACTAAAGATACCGAACAAGCATGATATGCGTGACGCACATCTTGCAGTCTATATGGTCTGTTCTGGCCATGAATCTTAAGGATCACAACTCCATCAAGGCCTTTGCATTCTACCACTTCATAAGGTCCTGACCAACCTGTGGTATCTTTATTTGGTGGGGTTCGATACAATTCTACGAGATCTCCCGGAGAAAATCTCTCCATTCCTGTGAGTGATGTCTGGGAATTCAATGCACGTTGAACTCTGGCGGCACTGGTTGCCGAGATCATCGCCTGGAGCGCAATCTCTCGAGTTCTTGCTTCCTTTCGGAGTTCGATGCCTGGATCATCAGTGATGGGTGGAAGACAAGATGGTTGTCGGCCCATTACAACCTGATAAGGTGTGACACCTCCCACGTGAGTCATTGCATTCCCTGCAAAAACACATGATGCGAGCAATGTGCCGAAACTCAAGTCTATTCCTTCTCGAACTGCCTGGGCGTCCATCACGTGCATTGAGTGTCTCAATATGGCGCCTCTTCTTTCGATGTAACGAGCATGTTGATCTTTGCCACGAAGTTTGATGGTGATGCCTGCACGAGCCAGCCTTGCTTTCACGGCTTCCGTTGAGAGTCCTGATTCCATGTCCGATACCAATGTGGTCATTGGTCCGAACGTGTTCACCCAGCAAGTAAAAATATTTTCAAGCAATTGTTCTTCTGTTCTTGAGGGCGTCTGCATGGCTGTGTGCCACCTGCTGGCTCTGCATACGAAGTGATGAATTACAAATTCCTTGTAATACATGAGATCTGTTTCAACAACTTCATTAAAGTTCATGGCAATACTGATCGATGGCTTCGTGTCTCTTCCTTTTGCGGCCCAAATTCTGCATTCCTTACATGTGTTAATTATATCTGGAATATAGCTGATCACATCATCTCCAAGACCTGCTTGCCTAAGGATCTGCTGCATGTTCGAAAGACCGGCGTGCCACCATCGCAAGTGCAATTTGCGTAGTGTTCGAATGATGGTGGGCTCATGGTTGGATCGAAGGGATCTTAAGTTATGTCCTATTTCAAAGCGTGTCCAATCCGAAGGATGCTCACCTACAGCTGCATCCTCGCGAGCAACTACTCTTCTCTCGGCACGCTCACCCTCAATCCTGGGCTCTCGATCTGATGCACTGCCTCGGACTTCTGAGGCACTTCCTCGAGCCTCTGCCGGTGGTTCCGGCACCAAGTCACTGCCATCTGGCAATTGAGCTTGCGACTCCTGTGCAGGAAGCTCTGAAGCTCTGCTGGACGGCTCCCTTGGATGTCGGCCTCGACGAGCTGTGCCTCGACGATGTGAGATCACGGTGTGTTTGCAACTGCCGGCTTCATATGTGTGACTATCATGTCCTGCAGGTCTATCCGCCTTACAACCTGGACATGACCATTCTACAGTGTCCTCTAGTGGCCACTTACAAGTCTCTGGATCACGAGTGTGTCGACGATCTGTTTTCCTCAGGTGGCCACGGCATCCGGGACAGGTATACCTAGATGGTTCGGCGGGTTCTGCGACTGGGTCTGACGTGTCGACGGCTACTGCGGGGTAACTACTTTGAGTGCTAAGATGCAATTTTAATTGAACAACTCCATCTACTATGGACTCGGCAAGTTTCCACGGCCATACTTCACAATGCTTTGCTCGTCCTGCCTCAAGAAGCTCATGTTGATGATTTCCTGGACATATGAAATGCACCAAAGGTTCCAAGAGGATACGAGAGTTGCTTACGAAGGCAGTGGGCTTCTTGGCCGGAGCCCCGGATGGACTTGTCTGTCCTGCGGCGCACTGATGGATAATTATCCTAACAGTATTCGGGTTACGAAACACTTCTCGCCACTCAACTTCATCCCAAAGCTTACTTGGGTGTGGTTGTTCAACCAAGAAGTATCGACCCTGTGCATCTTGCAACTGCGCTACTCTACCACAGAAGCGGCCGTGCGG